GAAGGGATGAGACCAGTGGAGTATCTTAGATGGCTGCTCACAGGCTTTTAAGACCCCAGACGCTACGCACCAAGGTAGAATGTAGAACATTGTCTTTATAAAAACTGTGTTATGCCAATTGAGCTAGGTGTTCCCTGAGACCATGGTCCCCACAGCCCTCCACTCAGCAATTCAGTCCCTCAGGGAGTTTGGATGTGTCTATGGGGTTTCCATGACATTTCCTTGTACAAGTTGTGCTGGTTTCCCCTGTATTGTGTACTGTCTCATCCTAGGGTGAAGAGTTTTGAGGGTGTATTTTTTAGTTCTGAACTGAAGTGGAACAAAAGAACATTGTAGATGAAAGGCTGGAAAATCTAACAAAGAAAGTAAATGCCTTAAATCTGCAGGGAAAATTTTCTGAAATCAGAAAATCAATTGCAAATTGTATCCCCAAGATACTCAGTTAGGCTTGGGAGTTGATTAAAGGTAATTTGGGTGGCATGTTTGGTGTCTTAGATATAGATCAAAGGAGATGAAAAAAATGTATGTAGACTACAAGGAGCTTTAGGGGAGGGTCAGGATTACTCAGGCTTTTTGAAAATATCTCTCCAGAGATATGAACAAGCTTGAAGGGAAACTCTTTTTCCCCCCTTAAAAACTTTATATCATTTCTTTATTATGTTGCTGTTGTTATTGTTAAGTGCCATTGAGTTGGCTACGACTCAGCCACCCTATGTACAAGAGAATGAAACAATGCCTGGTCCTACACAATCCTTACAATCATTGCTGTGTTTGAGCCCATTGTCGCAGCCACTGTGTCAATCCATCTCATTGGATTGAGATGTCTCTCTACTTTTTTGCTGACCCTCTACTCTACCAAGCATGATGTCCTTCTCCTGGAACCGGTCCCTCCTGATAGCATGTCCAAAGTACATGAGACATAGTCTCTCCATCCTCAACTTTAAGGAGCATTGTGGCTGTACTTCTTCCGAGACTGATTTGTTCTGCCAGTCCATTCTTTATTATACAAGTAATAATGTTTATTGTAGAAAAAATTATCTTCTAGAGGTACACAAAAATTTAAATTATACTTAATCTTACCATCCAGAGATAGCATAATTTACATTTTAGTGTATATCCTTCCAAATATAAATATACACAAATGTGTATAGGTATTTTTTCTAAATATGAGATCATATTATACGGTACTGAAGGTTTTTTCTCTCCTCACTTGATAATATAACTTTCAGAAAGTGATTCTTAACTATGAAGTGGGGACTAAAATGAACTTTCTTTATCCTAAGGAAACGATCAGGGATGATTATAAAGATTTATTTGCTATAGCATTACTCAGAGTCCCTGGGTGGTGTAAATGGTTAAGTGCTTGACTACTAGCCAAAAGGTTGGCAGTTTGAACTCACCTAGAGGCACCTTGGAAGAGAGGCCTGGCAATCTGTTTATGAAAGGTCACAGCCTATGGAGCGGTTGTACTCTGCACACATGGGGTCGCCGTGAGTTGGAATCGTCTCGACAGCAACTAACAATGACATTAGCATTATCTAAGGTAGTTAAAGATGGAAAAAATTTAGAGAGTTATTTAAATATATAATAAAATATCATGCTACCCTAATAGTATTAAAGAAGAAAATATGGTGGTAAAAAATGTTCATGGTGTAGTGTAAAGGAAAATAGTAGACTAGAGATCAGTATTTATGGTGTGTCAATCGTTGGAAAATGTACACATATGTACATATACTTTAAAACTTGTTGGAAGGATAGATAGTAAAATGTTAGCAATGGTTATCTCTCAATAGGAATTTGGGCTTTTATGTATTTTCTAAAGTTTTTACAATGAACATTATTATTTCCTTCGCGTTCCTTTTTCTATTCCTATTATAATTTCAAATGTTATACAGTTAGTAATGGTGTGTCATCCAAGAAAAGGAAGAGGAGGCAGAAGAAGAAGTAAGGACAGAATTTACAACTGATGAATCTAATTTGGTTTCTCCTTCAGCACCCAAAGAGAAGACCAGCCCTTACCAACGTAACCCTGGTTTTCCCAAGCAGCTTCTGGCCTCATTGCTGATACTTCTGCTGCTATTGGCAATCTCATTCTTTATTGCTTTTATGAGTAAGTATGCCATCTGAATCAGTAAGGAATGGGTGCCTTACACAAACAAAGGGTGTCTATTAGATACTGATATTTAACAATGGGTTTATCCAAAAACGGAACCCTGGTGGTGCAGTGGTTAAGAGTTCAGCTGCTATCCAAAAAAAAACGTCATCAGTTTGAATCCACCAGCTGCTCCTTGGAAACCCTATGAGGCAGTTATCCTCTGTCCTATAGAGTCACTATGAGTCAGAATCAACTCAACAGCAACTGGTTTGGTTTGGTTTTTTATCCAAAAATCTGGAGTTTTCTCTGGGGGAGACATAATTAGTGGGAGACCATTGGGAATTTTAAGGAGCTCAGGTGATGCAGTGGTTAAAAAAATTGGCTGCTAACTGAAAGGTCAGTGGTTTGAACCTACCAGCCACTCAACAGGAGAAAGATGTGACAATCTGCTTCTATAAAGATTACAGCCTTGGAAACCCTATGGGGCAGTTCTACTCTGTTCTATAGGGTCACTTTGAGTTGGAATTGACTCCACAGCAACGGCTTTTGTTTGGTTTTACTGGGAATTTTGCTCTTTGTATTTAGTTACTCTCCTTCAAAATGATGGTGTCAACTCCATTAAAGAAACTGAAGAGCATATGTGTGGGCATGTGTGTGTGTCGCAGAGTAAAATCTTTGTTGTAGAATAAAATCTCTACGTTAGGCATAGTGCCCATAGATTATGTGAGACTGAATCTTTATTTGCTTAGTAGCATTTTTAAGGCCAGCCTTATACAAGTGCACAAAAACTTGTTTTTTTGGATAGAGTAGGTGGACAAGAGGAAACATACCAGGGGGAGAGTTCCCCATTGCATTTTCAGCCTATTTGTTTTTGTCCTGCTCAAGACTGTGAGTTCTAAAAGCCAGCTTAGCATATAGGTGAATTTCTGCATGTCTTTGGCTATAGAGTTTATCAAATTTTTAAAAGTTATAAAAGCCAGTGTATATTTGGGTAGACTTTATTCATTCATTTGGTCATTCAATAAGCAGTAATGGGAAGCTACTGTATGTCAGACACTATGCCAGCCAGAGAGGCCAGCCAGAGCCACAGCCCTGAGTCTCAAGAACTGCAGAGAATGGTGGTAAAGGTAGTCAAATGAACCAGTGGTTATAATGTTATATGGTAAGTGTTTACTGGAAGTAAGTACAGGAGGCTGGGCTAGGCTTCCTGAAGGCATTGACATCTGGGCTTAGTTAAGAAGGGAGTGAAGAGCACTTTATGAAAGGAGCTGTGTGTACACAGAGATGTGAAAGAGCATAGTAAAATTTGGGGAATGCAAGTATGTATGGAAGGCACATATGGTGCTAAGTGAGGAACTGTGAGAGATGAAGCTGTAGATGGGAGAAATAAGCAGGGCTCAGAGCATGAAGAGCGTTGTGTACCATTCTAAGGAGTCTGACATTTTTTTTCCTGAAGGTTATTATATCAATTATCTTTTGGTGCTTATAGGCAAATCTTAATCTTAGTGGATTAAAACAACAACTCTTTATTTAACTCATGATTCTGTGGGTTTGCAATTAGGGCTGGGCTCAGCTCGGAGGCTCTTCTGGTCCCAGCTGAGCTCACTCATGCATATGTAGTCAGGTTCCTGTCACCTAGGCAACTCAGCTTCTGAGGGTTGGCTAAATGTTGGCTGGAAAAACAGGGCAATTATTCACCAGGCTAGCCTGGACTTCTTCACACAGCAACTTTCAGGCTCCCCAAAATGAGAGTAGAAGTAAACAAAGCCTCCTGAAACTTAGGCACATTGTTACTTCTGCCACATTCTGTTGGCCAAAGGAAGTCATAAGGCCAGCAGGATCCAACTGGTGAAGAAATAAACCCTACTTCTTCTCCTTCTTTTTTTTTTAGTGTTGTACTTTAAGTGAAAGTTTACATTTTAAGTTAGTCTGTCATACAAAAATTTATACATATATTGTTATCTGACCCTAATTGGTCTCCCTATACTGTGACAGCACACTCCTCCTTTCCATCCCTGATTTCCCATGTCCATTTAACCAGCTCCTGACCCTCTCTGCCTTCTCATCTCACCTCTGGACAGGAGCTGCCCATTTAGTCTCATGTATCTACTTGAGCTAAGAACCACACTCTTCACGAGTATCATTTTATGTCCCATAGTACAGTCTAATCTTTGTCTGAAGAGTTGGCCTCGGGAGTGGTTTTAGTGCTGAGTTGACAGAGAGTCTGGGGGCCATGATTTCTGGGGATCCTCCAGTCTCATTAAGTGTGGTCTTTTTACTAGAATTTGAGTTCTGCACCCCACTTTTCTCATGCTCCATCAGGGACTCTCTGTTGTGTTCCCTGTCAGGGCAGTCATTGGTGGTAGCCAGGCACCATCTAGTTCTGGTCTGAAGCTGATGCAGTCTCTGGTTTATGTGGCCTTTTCTGTCTCTTGGGCTAATATTTTGCTTATGACTTTGGTGTTCTTCATTCTCCGTTACTCCAAGTGAGTTGGGACAATCTTAGATGGCCGCTTGCTAGCTTTTAAGACCCTAGACACCACTCACCAAAGTGGGATGCAGAACATTTTCTTAATAAGCTTTGTTATGCCAATTGACCTAGATGTCCCCTGAAAGCATGGTCCCCAGACCCCTGCCCCTGCTACTCTGTCCCTTGAAGTGTTTGGTTGTATTCCGGAAACTTCTTAGCTTTGTAAACCCCACTTCTTGATGGGAGAAGGTGCAAAGCCACATTGCAAAGTGATGTGGACTCAGGGAAGGATGGAGAATTGTGGCAATTTTTGCCGTTTGTCACAGACATGTAGAGCCATGGAAGAATTGTAAGCAGGGAAGTGATAAGATCAAATATGACTTATAGAAATATGCTTTTGGCAGAAGAAAATGAATATATGGATAAAATTGGAGGCCAAGAGAATATTTACAAGGCTAATTCATTAATCCAATTGAGAAATAGTGAGAGCTGGACCTAAGGCTAGTAATAGTGAAGAAAAAGAAGAGGATGTAAGTGAAAGAAAAAAAAAAAAAAAAGATGATATTGGAGAGGAAGAATCAAGGAGGTAGAGGCTTGACAAATATTTAGATTTGGAGAATAAGGGACCCAGAGAAGTAAAGTATGACTGACTCTAAGTTTCTACCTTTGTCAACACAGAAATCATGAAGTTATTCAGAAGTAGACAGTATAGGATGAATAGCAGGTTTGATTGGAAGATAGTGATTTAAGTTCAGGGCATGTTGAGTTTTATATGACTGTGGGAACCTCAAATGGAAATGCTTAGTGGGAGACATATTTCTCTGAATTTCAGGAGAGAGGTCTGAGCTTTGGAAGTCATTTACATATAGGTAGCATTTGAAGCAACAGAAATACACGACATCGCTCAAGGAGAGGATCTAGTATGAGAAGAGGGATAAGGATGGAACTCTGGGGAATACTACATTTTAAAAGAGGTGTATGGAGGAAGAGGAGCTTTTAAAAACTGTAAGAAGCAGTAGCAAGAGAGATTATACAAAGACAGAAAAAAGTAGTGCCCAAAGAGATAAGAGGGAAGAGAACTGGGATCCAGTATTCATGGAAGTCAAATAGGAAGAAGACTTGTAAGTGGCCTTTGGATCCATTCTCTCAGGGATAACAGACAACTCGTTGCAAGGGTAATTTTAGTGGAATGGTGGAAGCAGAAGTCAGAATGTGGTGGGTCAAGGAGCAAATGGAAGGTAAGGAGGGATGGAAGAGAGAAAAGTCAGTTTCTAGAGGGGGAGGTAACGTAGTTTTTAATTAGAGAGACTTGAGCATGTTGGTATGCTAAGGAGTAAGAGCCTGTTGGGATGGAGAGAGGAAAGGAAAGAAGAAGGAGAGGATAATGTTCTTCTGATCAATGTCGATATGTCTATTTCTGCTTCCCCACTCTCAAACCTAACTCAGAATTCCTCAAAATTAGCTGAATTGTCTCCCTCAAAGACCCACACTAGATACATCCTCAAATAGAGATATGCTTGAGTATATGCCCTCCACTCCTCCTCCTCCCACCGCTAGCCTTAGCCCTTGCATGGGTCATACACTTAGTATTGAAATATAATCAGACAAAACTATTCTATCAAAACTGTCATGTGCTCTTTCAGCTATGGATCATTCATCTATTCCTGGAGGAATCTTTGGTTTCAAAATCAGTAGGATTAGGATTATGTTGATGGTGGAGTGATGGGAAATTTTTCCACAGCCAGGATCCTTCTACTTAAGTAATTGGGCCTTTGTAGATTTTGTTCCTACACGGAATGCAAGAAAGTAACAATCAGGAGCAAAGTCATACTACTACCAGGAAAGTGAATGGTCTTTATTCTCTTTTACAGTTTTTTTTCAAAGCTATTCTCAGCTTCTTAAAGGAAAAAAGGATCCAAAAGAAGTGTTTCATGAAAAATTGCTATGTGAGAAAACAAAGTTGAATATGGAAGGTAAAAATTATTGTGTATAGTTTATTTGTTTTCTTTACTGTGTAAGTGTCCCTAATCAGGTAGATGACCCTAAGAAGTTGAGTCTCATGATCATTTTAAACTACAAGCGTAAAAATATATGTTGTTAGGTTGTTTTTGTTAGGTGCCATTGAGTTTATTTCGACTCACAGCAACCCTACGTTCTGTAAACAATGCCTGATCTGCGCCATCCTCACAATCCTTGCTATATTTGAGCCCATTGTTGCAGCCACTGTGTCAATCCATCTCATTGACGGTCTTCCTCTTTTTCTGTGACTCTACCTTACCAAGCATGATGTTGTTCTCCAGGGATTGGTCCCTCCTGATAACGTCCAAAGTACCTGAGTCTAAGTCTCACCATCCTCGCTTCTAAGGAGCGTTCTGGCTGTACTTCTTTCGAGACAGAGTTGTTTGTTCTTTTGGTAGTCCAAACGACTTTGCAAACACCATAATGCAAAGGCATCAATTCTCCTTCAGTCCTCTTCTTCATAGTCCAGATTTCACATGCATATGAGGTGAGTGAAAACACCACGGCTTGGGAATGGCGCACCTTAGTCTTCAAAGTGACATCTTTGCTTTTTAATACTTTAAAGAGGTCTTTTGAAGCAGATTTGCCCAATGCAATGCGTTGTTTGATTTCTTGACTGCTGCTTCCATGGGTGTTGATTGCGGATCCAAGTAAAATGAAATCCTTGACAATTTCAATCTTTTCATCATTTATAGTGTTGCTTATTTGTCCAGTTGTGAAGATTTTTGTTTTCTTTATGTGGAGGTGTAATCTATACTGAAGGCTGCAGTCTTTGATCTTCATCAGGAAGTGTTTCAAGTCCTCTTCACTTTCAGCAAGCAAGGTTGTGTCATCTGCATAATGCAGGTTGTTAATGAGTCTTCCTCCAATCCCGATGCCCCGTTCTTCTTCGTATAGTCCAGTTTGTTGGATTATTTGCTTAGCATACAGACTGAATAAGTATGGTGAAAGTATACAATCCTGATGCACACCTTTCCTGATTTAAAAATATGTAAAAATATGTAGGTCCTAAAATTTATATAACTTTAGTTTTCCATGCAAGGAAACAGAGGCTTAGTGTCAAAAATTACATTACTTTTGCATTTCTTCAGCCTTCACTTCCTTCTGAAATTTCTGTGCACACTTGCTGTTTTTCTCATACATCAATTAAAATAATACTCTCTCATAAAAGATCTAATCTGTTTATGTTTTAAGAAAATATATTAAATGTGCATAAAACATTTCTGGAAGAATACATTTTATAGGGTTTTACCTCTGGGAAGTGGAATTGAAGATGTTGGGAAGAGAGAGAAACTTTTGATATTTATCGTTTAGTTTTGTTTGATGATGAGGATGATGATTTTATTCTGGATGTGAGTTAATTTTTTTAATACCTAAAACTTTATTTTAAAAAAAAAGAGCAAATACTTGCATTTTTTGGTGTAGTTGAAATGGATTTCAAGCAATTGTTACTTTGTATTTTAACTTACCTTTAATTGGGGAAATGGAATCTATCCTTAAAGGAGTTTCAGACATTTTTAATAGATAGTTGAGTTTTGGAAATGGGAAAAGTTTTCGTTCATAACACAGTGACAGCATGGGTAGTAGTTCAAGAAGATGCTGTGGTTTCTACATTCTCAAAATTCCTTTCTCATTTATTTGAGGGAGGATGAGAGGGAAGAAGGGAAATCTTTAGATACTGGAAGCCTATTTTGGGCCTACTGGGGTGAAGAGAAAGGCTTGTTCTGTAGCTACCCTTCCCAAGTACCACCAGTTTTTGTTTTTTACAAATTCTGATACCATAATAATCCTTATTAATCCTCATGTAAATTGTCCTTCCTATGCATTACTTTTCTTGTTTCTTAAGGATAGTGGCCATCATTTATGGAATATTTACTACATGCCAGCTACTGAGGTATATTCTTCACATATGTACTATATTAATATACAGTACATATCTTCATATATGTACTATTTACCGTATTAGGCAGAGGCTATTTTTATGAATATTATTTTATTTTAAATATTTTAACTGTGAAACATAATACACATGCAGAAGAGTATATAAATCATAATTATACAGCTTGATAAATACTTAAAAAGTAGGCATGCATAGAACCACCACTGGAAATAGAACATTTCCAGTGCCCAAGAAAGCCCCCAAGTGTCCCTTCCTTACTCCCCAGGAAGTAATCTTATCCTGATTTTATGGTAATCAGTTATTTGCTATTTTTAAAAAACAGTTTTACCACCTATATATTCATCCCTGAATACAGTAGTTATGTCCGCTTTTGATTTTATATAGATGCAATCATTTTGTATGTACTGTTTGATGTACTGTTTTCCTTCAATATTATGTTTTTAAAATTTACTTGTAGAATGTAGCTATAGTTGCTCTTAGTCATTACAGCATAGTATTTACTTATATGAATATATCACTTCTTATTTGTCTATTCTACTCTTGATGGGAGAAGCCCCGGTGGCACCATGGTTAAGCACTCAGCTGCTAACTGAAAAGTTGGTGGCTGGAACCCACCCAGCAGCTCTGTGGGAGAAAGACCTGGAGATCTGCTCCTGTAAAGGTTACAGCTAAGAAAACCCTACGGGGCAGTTCTAATCTGTCACAGGACCCAACAACTTTTGATGGACTCATTTATTTCTAGTTTTTGGCTCTAATCAACATTCTAAAAACATGATTGTACATGTATTCAGGTGTACATCTGTGTGATTTTTCTCTAGGATATACATCTAGGTGTGGAATTGCTGGAGCACAGAGTATGTGTATATTCAACTCTACTACAAACTACCCAACAATTTTTCAAGTATAGCTATACCAGTCTACACACTATCAGCATTTCATAAAATATTTTATTGTTCCACATTCTCACCGTAGTTGGAATGGTCAGACTTTACATGATTTTGCCAGTCTAGTAGTATCTCATTGTGGTTTCAATGTGCATTCTTATTACTAATAAAACTCAGCTTTTTTTTTTTTTTTAAGTTTACTGGCCTTTTGTATAGTGTATGTTCAAGCCTCTTGCACATTTTTTCTATTGGATTTTCTACTTTTAATTTATTGCAGGAGTTTTAAAAAAATCTAGGTATTATGGATATGAGTCCTTTGTTCATTATATGATAGTAAATAGTTCTTTCACTCAGTAACTTAATCTTTTCCCTCTCTTTATGGTGTCCTTCGATGGACAGAAGTTACTAATTTTAATGTAATAATATTTGTAAATCTTTCCCTTTATGACTGTGCTTCTTGTCTTAAGAAAACTTGCTTTTACTAAGCTGATGTCATGAAGATGTTCTTCTACGTTATCTTCAAAAAGCTTTATACTTTTTCCTTTCTCCTGTTGGTGTATGATGAACCTGAAATTGATTTTTGGATATGCTGTGAGGTATGAGTCTATTTTAATTGTTTTGTTTTGTCTGTATGGATAACCATTTTTTTCCCTGTACATTTATTGAAAAGACTTTCCTTTTACTAATGATTGGTAGTGCCATCTTTGTCAAAATTCAAGTGCTTTTTTTTTTGTCTGGGTCTCTTTCTGGATTCTCTATTCCATTCCATTTATCTATTTATCTATCCCTATGCCAATAACACAGTGTCTAAACGAAGGTTTAAAAAAATCTTGATATCTGGCAATGCATATTCTTGGCCTTTGTATTTCTGTATAAATTTTAAAGCCAGCTTGTCCTGGTTTTCAAAAAACTCCTGTTGAGATTTTGATTGAAATTGTATTAAATATATAAATCAATGTGGGCTTAACTGATATTTTTTATAATATTGATACCTTTAATCAATAAACATGGTATATACCTCAATAGATTTAGATTTTCTTTATATTTCTCAATGAAGTTTCAATTTTTTCCCCATATGGGTTTTGTCTTTTGTTAGATTTCTCCCTAGATAATTTTTAGTTTGATGCAATTTTAGAGTATATTTTTTAAAAATAAACTTTAAATTTATAACTCTGTGGATTTTTGTGTATAAACCTTGTGTCTAGAAGCCTTGTTAAACTGATATAATTCTAATAATTTATCTATGGATTCTTATGAAATTTTTGTGAACAATTAATTTACTGTAAGTAATGATTGTTTTATGTTTTCCTTTCAATGGTTATAACTTTTTTTTCATTATTATTGATGTAATTAAATGAAGTTTACATTTCAAGTTAGTCTCCCATACAGAATTTTTTTTTTTAACATACATTGTTATGAGACCCCCACCGCTCACCCCATACTGTGACAGCACACTCCTCCCCTCCACCCCTGATTCCCCATGAACATTCAACCAGCTGCTTATTCTCTTTGCCTTCCCCTCTAACCTCTGGACAGAAGCCGCACCTTTGGTCTCTTGTATCTACTTGTCTAAGAGGCACATTCTTCACGAGTATCACTTTATGTCCCACAGGCCAGTCCAATCCCTGTCTGAAGAGTTGGCCTCGGAAATTATTTTAGTTCTGGGGTGATGGAGAGACCAGGGGCCATGCTTTCCGGGGCACCTCCAGTCTTAGACCATTAAGTCTGGTCTTCTTACTAGTATTTGAGTTCTGCATCCCATCGTTCTACTGCTCTCAATGGTTATAACTTTTATTTTTCTTGCATTACTGCTCTGGCTAGAACTTCAAGTAACCAGTTTCTGTGAAGTCAATTCCTACTCATGTGTCAGAGTAGAACTGTGCTCCATAGGGTTTTCGATGCTGATGTTTTGAAAGTGAATTGCCAGGCCTTTCTTCTGAGGTGTCTCTGGGTGGACTTGAACCTCCAACCTTTCAGTTAGCGGCTGAGCACATTAACCATCTGCACAACCCAGGGACTCCAGAACATTCAGTACAATGTTGAATTGATATGAAAATAACAGGCACCCTCATGTTGTTCCTGATTTCCAAGGAAAAGCTTGCAATATTTTATTATTTAGAAATAATGATTGTTACAGGTTTTTTGTAAATGCTTTTTATCATATTAATGA